CCGTATTTCCCGCATTCATTGGAACTGTTGCTTCACGAAGTTCTCGAAGAGGAAGCGACGAGCAAGGACCCGATCCCGGATGCTCAACTACCGTCCGTCGTGGAGTTTATCCGCGAGTTTCCCGGTGTTTGGGCCAGAGCCGTCGTGCAATGCGCTCGCAAGACCGAAATCGCGCTTTGGCCGTACCTGTTCTCTGTCGCCGGCCCGCCGAAGAAGCTACTGCAAGATTGTTTGCAGCGTCAGCAACTCGATACCGCCGCCAGTTATCTGATCATTCTACAGAACTTAGAGCCATCCTCTGTCAGCAGGCAGCACGCCACGTTACTGTTAGATGCCGCGTTAGAGCAAGGTAGATGGGAGCTATCGAGGGATCTTGTGAGATTTCTTAGAGCAATCGGTAAATAATCTCATAAATCTTTGTAAATATAATTAATTGTACTTATAAAATTAACATTAAATTTCTTTTCTAAATTTAGATCCGAATGACGTGGAGTCACCACGTACATCGTGGAGTGGCAGTGCGAAACTGGTAGGCCCTCCCCAGACACCTCCTCTTTCTCCGCACGAGGATGATCTAGCCTTGGTCTTGGGCACTATGCAAGTTTCAAGGAGCCGCAGTTATAGTACCACGGTTACGCCCAAAGTGCAATCAGAGAAAGACGTCGCGCCGTCCTCTATGCTCGAGAAAACCCGGAACGTTGTTATGAGGCGAAAGAAATCAGTTCCGACAGTAAAATCGAGCGAGAAAACAGAAAACAAGTAAGTTTTTCCTTTTCATTTAAAAGTTGATATTACCATAGAGTTACGTGAATATTTAATATTTAAGACACCTAGAGAATCACATAAAATAAGCAAAAACAATAAATATTTAAAGCAAGTCTTACAAATTTTCTATTTTATTCTCTTTTCTTTTGCTGTCGAACTAAAACTAATCAAATATATATATTTTTTCAGAGAAGGATCGGCGGAGGAGTTCTTCATTGATGTCATTTTGCAACGTCACGCCCGGCGGCTGCTTTCAGCTCGCCGCTTGACCGACTTAGGTAGATTCGCAGCCCGTCTTGACTTTCATCTAGTGACATGGTTCGCTCGAGAGCGTGATAGAGCAGCGAAAATTGACGACTATGTGGGCACGTTGAAGGCAGTCCACGAAGACTTTGCATTTCCATACCCGACACTTTCGTTGCCAACGCTGCAGAAACTTCGGAGATCTAGCCTCACCTCTCTACACTCCATAGTATCCGATGACGAGACCTTGTCCCCGAACTTGGTCGTCGACGTACCTGACAGCGGATACACTAGTCTTCCAAGCGGTAGACCACCGTACACAACGTTGGTCTCGCCCGTAGCGAGCTTAGAGACGCAATTTCCGACCGCAGAAGCCAAATTAACGCCGAACCTGATAAATGGTGAGTCCTTCGTTAGAAACTTCTATTCAAGTAAAATTTCTTTAAAAAGATGCAAGTTACATATTCTTATAGCAAAAGATCTTTGTGCACTAATATTTTTTTTTTTTTTGCATTGAATTTGTAATTACAGATGCCAACAGTGTTCTTAGCGATACTAGTACAATCTGGAGAGATGATGCAGACTCCATGGTTGGCTCTGTGTGCTGGGTCTCACCGGAGTCAGTGGGACCTACAGAAGTCAATCAAGCCTCATTGACTTCCCCATCAATCGGTCGGGCAGAAGTACAGCTTAGGTATAAATATATGCATATTTTCTTAATTAAAAATCAAAATTAAGAAATTACTGTTGTATATCTTTTATATTTACATGTTTATCTTTAAATCTTTAACAGGTATTTACTGCAACTGTTTCTCGAGGGTAGTTGTCTAGGATGGGCTGCGGTGGTAGCTACTGTTCTTCGAGATGCGGCGGCCATGGCTAGAACCGTCAGAACAGCACATGCACCAATGCAAACTTTCGATTCTATAATCAACCTGAGAGACGGATTACTTACATTGACTAAATGGTCTCATTCGGAATGGTATGTGTACATTATCGCATATATGTATATCTTCACGATGTATATATACGGCGAAGTTAAGATCTAAAAATTTAAGTATTTGCTGTACAGCAAGCAAGGAGTTTATTCTTTCAATAAGATATTTTAACGAAGATATTTTCTTCTAATTTATTGAATAACTTATAAAATTTAAATTTTTACTAGAAAAAATATTTTTAATTTGCTCGATAATTGACAAGCGTTGATATACACAATATATACAATCTATGAGTTAAATTGATTATATATTCTCTACAATTTAATTATAAACATTGCTATTCTGATTTCAGTTTGGGATACCGTCCCTTCATGTCCAACATCCAAAGCCAAATATCGTTGTTGAATAGATTGGTGATAATAAAGCAACAGCAGGAACAGGAGCAGATACCGGAAAGCCCTTCGCCGAGTCCGGCTCCATCCGCCGGCAGCAACCAACGCGGTACTCACTCCCGCTCGAGGCATTCTTCGATTAGTCACGCTTCCAACACAGCTCCACTCGAAGAGGAACGCTCCCACGAATCGCTGTTGACCGTCGAGGAGTCCGTATTTCACGGAAGTTACAATAATCTCAACGCCACTGAGGACACGTCGCCGCAGAGCGCTTGCACGATCTCATAAAGGGTGCTTTACGAAAAGGCTGTCCACTTTACTGTGTATTTTACATACCAAATGTTGTAATTGTTTTCATTTAAGACTAAATTTTAAAAGATATTATTTGATTATATGTTTCAGACACATAAGGGGATTCCGTATATACATATTATATAATTATTACTTCAAAGAGATCTTACTTTAAGGCCGTTGATTTAAGGCCTTGATTGTTTTAATATTAAGGATAATTTTTGTAATGCGACAATATTCTGCAAAACTGATACGGACGATGCAGGCTGTTCCCGGAACATATAATTATAAATCGGAGAAATCCTGGAAATTTGTACATAAAGTTTTGGAACGTTTTTTTATTGACTTTCGAAGATTTTGAATTGTACAGGGTGAAACATGTAAAGGTGAATGATTCACATAAGCATGTGATTGTACATAAGCGCTTATGATATTATTGTTAAAGTATACGCTGTGTCGCGAGGAATAAACCTCGAACGCGATGTACGAAGTCGCCAGGGCCAACGGCAATTCTTAAATTATTTTACCGCTGAGTATAAAAGTATGAAATGCTCATTCGCTAATTATGAGCAATAGAGAATAGCAATATAGTGAAATTAATGAATGAACAGCGGTTCAGAGATATTAAATCAAAATCGGCGCATCTGAGAGGTCTGATATTATGATAATTATGTAATACGCAAAACAATGAAAATTATTAATAAGCTATTTATACATATTGTATCATAGACGATCATACAAGTATATGTTATATTTTCTCATAAAACTCTTTTCTGTGCTTATTTTATTAGGTGCTGGAAGATCTACATTCGTCGATAGCTTAACGAACAAGCAAAATCGGAGATATGATAAAAGGAACATTGATTTACAGCGTAATTCTTAATTATACGTAATATGGGGTAAAAACAAGAAACAAAATGACATATAATTAAGAATCATCTTGTATAAAATCCCGAAAGCAGATGCATTATTTTTCAAGATTTATCCGGAACAATGAAAAAATTTTTTTTCTCAAGTCAATTGCAGCTTCCAAAGAAGATGAAAAGTATATAAAATGACATGCGATATATTTCACGTCATCACTATTTGTCGTTTGATAAGTTCATTCCGCTTAATCCCGCTGGACAAATGATCGATAAGTTATCAGTATCTAAAATACGTTCATCGAATCTAAATATTCAAGTGTATTTACCATCGACGTATCAATCTCGTGTTCCACATTGCGACACGTTTTTATGGGGAATGTTTACCTCGCAGGTGTTTCTAATACATCCGATACGTGATATTTCCTCCATTCGATCTAAAAGCAACGATTATTCAGCGCACGAGGAAAGTCCATCTTTATCCTGTGGCACACATAATTTAAGGAAAGACGGTTGCGTTGCGTTGTAACAGCGTTTTTGTCGAACCATTATTTCTCAATTTCTGAAACTTCTACGAAATTTGTATCTATGAAACTATGCGTCTTTTACAGAATGGATTACAGTCAATCGCAATCGCGTGATTGCGCGGACGAGTTTATAATCGCGGAAAAAGCTAGGTGGTTTCGCAAGGAGAGGAAAAAAGGGGAAACACGTGCCGAAGATAAGAATGCAAACACTTTCAGCGAGATTCCTGAAACTCCACGCGCAGAAGCACGTGCGAAACAACGAGAGAGAGTTTGGTCCCGCGATAATAACTACAAACGAGCAAATATTTTAAAGAATCGCGCTGATTCGGAGTAAAAGGAATTAAAGGATGTAAGAGTCGCGAATGATAGCGCAAAGCGCAAACGCGCACGACGAAGAATCAGGATTAATAGCCGGTTAGTTACGCTCTGTTTTTCATTCACCTTTTTATAAATTTACGGTTCTCTTATTAATTGTGTATAATTCTTTTTTGCTACGATTAATCGTCATTAATTAATTGTTAATTGAAATATCAAA